AAGCTCACACACAAGTCTGCAAAGAGGTTGAATCTTGAACATGTGATTCCATGACCTGTGATAATCACAGAATTACAGAATGCTTTGGGTTGGAAGGGCCTTAAAGATCGCCTGCCCAGGCTGCTCAAACAGCACACAAGGACAGTGCATCCCTGGGGAGGGGGAATCATAAAACATCTGGATGGCACATGCTTCACTGCTTAAAGATGAACTGCAAGGCAAAACCCTTTCCCCCATTACTGCTTTATCACCCAGCTACTTAAATATTTGAGACACTTCATCATTTCATGCTGGTTTTGTGGTTTTAGTTTTCACACCTCTGAGTCAGACACAAACCCCCAAGTTTTAAACCAACTCAAGTACACTTACACTGGAGATTTCCTTTGTTTAGCTGCATAGGCATCAAAATCAAACTCATTCAACCAAAGCAAGTTCTCTTGTAGGACTAGACTGACTAGAGTGCTGTCCCTTTCTGGGAGAGGGCTAATATATTACCCCTGAAGTATAATTACTTTAAGGTCATTGCAAGCGAAGAGTGAAAAGTGGTTTTACACTTCTTAGAATTTAATTTTCTCTAAGTTTTCAAGAAGCCAACATAATAAAAAATGCATGACAAAATTCCACATACCACACTCCATAAAATCTTACATAGTAATTAAGCACCACTGGACCATGATACAGCAAATCCTAGCCCTGCACATTGCCAGGTTCATTAATGCAGCTTCATCTACTTTGGAGCAATTTAGAGGTGAGCAGTGTAGAGCAACAACAACAACAACAAAGATATTTCAAATAGAAATATCCAGTGTAGAAGGAGCATTAGAAAGAATTAAAAATGGATTTTTGCCAGTTCTGTTTGGGAAGGGGGAGGAGAATGGGGAAAGATTACCCACAGCAAATAAGGATGGAGTGATCCACAAGAACTCTTGTTACTACCAGAAATCCCAATTCTTCTCTGTAGGCACTCATTGCATCCACCTGTTACTTCCCAGCTCATTTGTGAATACCTCATAAGGGGTACCTTTGCATGTTTACACCTTCCCTCCCTAGGGATACAACCACATACTCCTAGGAATGACTTCAGTCACAACAGAGGCACTGCAGCCCACAAAACTTTTGATGGCCAGGTTAAGACAGGCTCAGAAGAGAGCTCACCTTACAGCAAACCTGCAGCAAACTCAGCCAGTGCTGAAATGAACCCCCTAGAGCACCTTTGTTCTTTCCCTGGGATCCCTCCATCCCTTGTTGTGTCAGAGGACAAAGCACAGCACGAGCAGCAAAGAGGATCCAAGAACAACTCTCAGTGCAGGAAAACGGATGGATGCCATGCATAAACATTGCTGCAGTCAATTTAGCAGTCAAGGCAGAATGTGAATTATATCTTGGACCTGATTCAAGCAGGATATAGAGGTCATCTCCACGGAAGGGTCTGCATCCTGCAAATCCCTAGTAGTGAATGGATTTATGGTGAGACTCATCACCTGCTCTGCACCCAGAGCACACTGAGACAGAGAATGTGCTTTTGATGGTGGAAAAATCTGGGAGGAAACATTTACAATCTTTGTCACGTACATAGAGGCAAAAAAAAAAAACAAAAAAATTAATAACTAAGTTTCCAGGATTACAAGCGTTCAAACACCAGGATCAGATTCTTTCAGATCTTCTGCTTCTCCCCTTTGAGCAGTCACTTGCCAGGGTGGAAAATTTAATGTAATGAGATCAGCCTTGCTATTTTAGTCTCCAAAGTGCAGATGGAGCATATGCCTGTAGATAGTCATGTTATCTGTATTACTGCAGTGTCTGAAGACCCCAATCAGACACAGGCCACTGAACACTCAGAGAAAACTCTCAAAGAAAATTCCTGCCAAAAGCAGTACACCATGTGAGCTAGAGGGGAAAATACAACCTGTTACTTTAATTTTACCAGTGGAGATAATCATGGAGAGGAAACAAGCAAAAGGATCATAGATGAACACACAGTTATGGTCAACTTTGACAGCATCCTCCAGAAAACAGTTACAAGCGTGTTCCTGAAGGGCTTTGTTTATTTGTAACCAGTAAGTTATGTTTTGCAAAACAGTTCTTTCAGTCTTTGAATTACACTTAAAAAATACTAAAGAAGGTATGGATCTGAGCTGGTCACTTGATTGAGAGAACTCTCAATCAGCTTTATTAATAAGAACATTGCACCACATTATACAAATACTATTTAGACCACAGAGTTTCACTGAAGGTTTCAGCTCACTTGTGATCTCTGCTGGTACAAGGTCACACCCAGCCTCTAGGCATATGAAACCTCTGGTGTTCACTGCACAGTAAATACACAGCACATAAACCAGAAGGAAACACCTTTCAAGATTTCATGCTTAGTCCTCCCTGGACATGATTTTTTTTTTTTTAAATTACATTTTAAGGCTGCACAGTTATAAATTGTACTATGATGACAACATAACAGACCTCCATCATCTTCTTCAAAACCTCCATATTAAAAAGAAGAGTTTGGAAATAGGGTAAGACATAACCCCCTGCAAAGTTCAGCATCTGCAAACTATTTTACCTGTTCTATTTGCTTTAAAATATCATGGTCCAAGTCCTCAGTGGGAGATGTCAAGATTTTACAGAATGTTGTAATTTTTGTAAGATAACGGGTACTTCGAAATACCATTTCTTCAATTATGCAAAAAGTGGAGTTTGAAGTAATTTATTCAGTAACATCTGTCATCATTTTCAAGAGTCAGTGGCTGATACAGCACAATTTAAGGACTCTGATATCGTTAGGGATAACAGTGGCTGCATAACTAGCAATCACTGCTAATCTAGTAATTGGCAAGGTGACATGCAGCTACCATAGTAACCAGCATAAGATCAACTGTTTGCTTCCAAGAAATGCCTACACTTCACTCAGCTATTCTGCCACACTTTTTAAAGCCACGGCAGAGAAAATAAAAACACATCAAGGCATTCTGGAACTTGCCTCCTTCTCTGCTTTTCTGTAACAGAAGAGAGAATTCCTCAGAAGAGGAGTTTCACTGGTTTGGCCAAGAAGGTCCCACTACTGAACAGGAAACAAAGTTTCTGGAGCCACGATCAGGGACAGCCCCATCAGTCTTAGGCAGGGAGGGTGCACAACAAACACCAGAGGGACAGTAGGCACCCTTGGAAGAATCACCTTCCCAGGCATTTCTGCACGAGCTGCACACGGGTTATTTCATGCAGTGGTCATACTAAAAGGAAATATTGATATCTAAAGGTCACACGCCTCTTCTAACACGCTCTTAACCACTCCGAGTAACTCCAGTTAATTCTTAAGAGCCTCCTCTGTACTTCTGACTTTACAGACACCTCTGTCCAATCTCATTTCTATTGAACTCTCACTCACACAGAACTCCAGCATTCAACCAGTCTCAATAGCTTTGGCAGGGGGTTAAAAATCCAGGAGCAGAAGAGGGTGAGTCATGAGGCAGAGCCACAGAGACACTCAGGGCTGAAGTGGCAAGGACACCCAGTTGTTCTGGCTTCCCATCCAGTGTGCCCCCACCTGCTTCAAGTTTATACCTATAGATATTTATTTTTGATTTTTTTTTCCTGTTTCTACACAAACTACTGACTGAATAAACAGGAGAGTCAGGACAAACCTAAGGGAAAGCAGGAGGGTGTTGTTGACAAGTTTATGTTTCCATGAAGGAATTAGCCTGGTGTAACAACAAAATATATTTATTATTTTGAATAGTAAATAAATAAAAAAAGCTTGAGGAGTACCTGTAGACATTACATTAAAAATTTAAACACCATTAAGTACCTTTACCTGGACATTTAAATGACTCCTATGGGATGCCTGCCTGAGAAAATCCAGCCTGCCTTATGGCAGAGCTAATCTTCTCACCGTATCTGTTTCACTTTTTATCCTTGCACCTGCCTGTATTAACAAGATTAAGAATTAACCTGGAAGAGGGCTGTCTGTCAAGGAATACCAATTAATCTATTGATTTAATCATCAGAATAAACCAAATGGAGCTTCAGGCCTGGGCAGAAGGAAGGTATTTATTGTGTTATAATTCAAACTCTATAAGGCATGCTTGTGGCAGGCTGTGTCACCAGACTGTGCAGGGGAAACAATTGGGAGGGAGGGAAAACAGACACTGGAGTTTTCTTTTAAAAGAACATTCTTATTTAAGTGTTACAGCCAGAGGGAAGATTTTGCACATGATCTCTCCACATAGTAAAAAAGAAAAAAGAGTTAGAAATTCTGGATTATTTGCAGATCCAAGCTAAGTCATTCAGAGAGTGTTTAAAAAGGAGTGCACACACTCATCTTTGTGAAACCAGGCTCCATTCACAGAGCTTCATCCCAACTCACAACTGGAGTCACAACTCTCCATTAAGTTACTGCTGTCTAATCAAAGGAGTTTGTTACTATCTCCAAGCACAACATGCTAGTACACAGACGTTTCTGCACTTGCAGCAAACCCTGCCTTTTTTTATTAATATAAACTGCCATAACATACATGCTCAAGACAGAAAACTCGAAAAACATTCATGCACCACTGACCCACTGGCAGAAAATGAATGAATGAAAAGAGGAAAAGAGTGCAGCAAAATAAGAAGTTGTTCAGGACTGGATCCATGGAGACACAGGAGACACATCCAAATAATATCTTATTATCTGGACACTGTTTTGAAGCTTTGCAACTTATCCACTTTGTTGATACGCTGAAGGCAACCACTGTGAGAGGCCATCCCAAAGTTTGGGATAATCAACTCTTTGCTGGAAGACCAATAACCAAGAACTCAACAGATCGGTTTCGCGTGCGAGAAATAAAACAAAGCGCAAACAAAGCCCTCAAAACACCCGCGGAAAGCAGCAGCGAGCTGAAAAGAAGCCGCTTTCGAGCCGGCAAAGTGACAGCCCTGCAAGGAAACAAACGCTGTGTGTGTTCCCAAGTGACCGCATTTCCGCCTCCTCCCCTCCCATTCAGCGCTCCCTGCTAGGGATGCTCCCTCCATCTGCGTGACATGCGGGATGAGAAACACTTTTCTCTCGGTGAGAAGAGGAGAAAGCACACGGTCACACGGTGGTAAGTTCGCGCTTATATTTGCTGGCACGAAGCGGGGAAAACCCTCCGTCAAATAGGTTGCTCGATTAGGTAAACGCAGTTAAATATTGAGTATAATGGTGCGGAGTGTGTGGATCTTGAGAAGATTCAGCAGGGGAGTTGTGTGCTTAAGGAGCAACTGGGACACAGCTGTGTGCATCTGCAACCTTTGCTTTAAAAGCAGTAAATGCTGCAAGGTTAGAAAAAGAAAGTAACTTCCCCGTTTTGCCCTTTGTATGGGAAGTCTGTTGCCCAAAGGCTTTTGTTCCTGAAAGGAATTCAGGGTAGACGAAGTCAGCTGAGATAAACCAGAGCCCCTCTCCCCCCTCCTGTTATTCAGTACACACTTCCCTTCCCACTAGCTCACAGTTCTGACAATGCAGGGGAAGAGGAAAAGAATGGCAGAGGGAAGCAGAGCACAGCTGTAAGTTGCAGAATATCTCCATATTCATTCGCCAAACAAAGCCAGTATTCAAAAAGACAACGAAGATGCAAAGGGATCGCACGGATCTCCACGCCTCTGAGCAGCGAGGGGCTCTCTAACAATGCATTCAAGCAACAGATAGAGGTTTACCTTCAAAATGCAGGCCATGTTCTTTCTCTATCCCTCCTACCACAGAGCAGCAGGATTCTACTTTTGTGAGCAGCAGTTCCAGTGTCAGGCAAAAGGCTGGCAGAGCCGCAGAACTGCTAGAGCCTACATTCCCGCAGATCCAAACAAGAGGCACCACGCATCCAGGATCCGTTAGTCATATCAGTCTTTTTATGCCCCGTTTGTTCCACCCATCAGCTCCTACCACTGGCTGGGAGCCAGCCCAGCACCTCCCCTCCCGTCACATGACGGAGTTTGATTCATGGCTCCAGCGTGTATTTTTCGTAAGCTCCAGGACGCTCCCGCGCAGCGCTAGGCGTGCTAGAGTGGCAATCTGTACCTTGCAGATGTTTTGCAATGGCCGCAAATCGAGCTGCACGTTTGTAATTAATCCCTCCGCAGCTCTCTAAATGCTCTCGGAAGGCAGCTGCTGCCAGTTGGGCAGGAAATGTCCAAAGTCTCTCTCTCTCTCTGTTATTAGGGTTCTAAAAATCCTTATGCTGCCTGTTAGAGTGCAGTAGTGTTTTATGTTCAGCCCTTTTCACTGTACAGCAGGCTTCGCTTTGCCTGAGCTGCTGCCCTACGAGAAATAATCATTATCAGCAACCAGCACAAATATCCCACCAGAGGTGCTTGTGTTGTGCTGCACACACCTCTTTCTGTGTAAAGGGCTGGTATCCATCACAGGGAATGCAAAGCATGGGTTGGTTTGTGAGGTGTTTTACATGTGCAAGTTGATAAAAGACTCTCTGAACTTTCTTTCGACTTTCTTGTGCTGCAGTGGGACTGAGCGCAGATTAATAAGTTCTTTCACTTTACATAACCTCATCAAATTCAAATTCTTCCCTTATATACTCTATATATCATAAAGGTTTCACTTCATATTTATCACTTCTCTAGCTGTCTCTCTCCCCCTTTTCCCAGTGCCTCTCATCACTACATCTTGGAACCCTTTGCATTTTTTGTACTTGGCACCTTCCCTGTGTTCCTTTTGTGCCACATTGCCTCACTCCTGCTGCTTTAATGCACACCAAAGCCCTCCCTCTCCCTTAATAAATTCCTTGTAGTGGGAGTCTTCCTCCCCTCCTGCAGCAGCTCAGGGTACCTGTTTACATGCAGCCAATCCACTCCGTTCATGTTATGAAACCATTTACCAAGAGCTCCTCAATAAGTGGAGGCCAGAAGGGGTTAGTGCTGCACTGTACATTTAATAACCAGCACTGCTCCCTTGCCTGGCAAGCCTCCCCTATCCAGGTGCAATCCCTCAAGACAGTAAGTAGGTTGAAACTAAAAGAACTGGCTGTCCTCATTTCTATCCAGGGGCAAATCATCCCCCAGAGCAGAACAGAAAGGGGACTGGGGAGAATTTCTGCAGCTCACGCTCCTGGGCTGCTTCCTTGTGCATTTCCAAAGAAGAGGTCATGGTGTGTTTGGCCTCTGCACCCACACCTCCAGAGTGATGTAATTATACATACACAGGTCCTGTAAACTCCTCAGCGCCTCTTCCCCCCTTTGAAATCCACCTCTTTGCTCAGTTACAGCCACAAGCCAAAGTTGCTGAGCTGAAAATTGTAGTGTTGTTGGGGAGACTAACGAAAACAAACCTAATTGAGGTTTCTAAGTTGACTAACATAAGGAAATACCTAAACCACAAATTAGTGGAAGAAGGTTGTAAGGGAGGGACCTTTTTTTTTTTTTTATTGGAAGCTACTACCAATCGGTGTTACATCGTTCTGAATAGCAGTTTATGCCTCTCTAAATACTAGTTCTTCATAGGGAGCTCTGTAACAAAACTATGGTTTTTAATAAATAAGATAAACAAATTATTCTCTTTTTTTCTCTGATTAAAAAAAATAATTGTTTTTCTCTCTAGTGGTCAAGAATCTATTTTTTTTCTGGGACTGAAAATATCCCTTTCACCTCTGTGAGAAGTTTTCATCTGAGGCAAATGAAAAATATTCCATCCCCTTCCCACCCCCCATCTCACCAACTTCATAAAGAACAAGAGGAATGAGACTTGGAGAGAAATTGTCCTGAAAAGGTCAACCATTTTCAACGTGTCCAAAGCAATGAGGGATTTCCAGTGAATTATATTCCTTAAGGAAAGCCAGAGATGTGGGTAGGTGTCTTGTTTTAAGCATCTCTGAAATGCTTTCGATTCTAAACATCACATCAGACAAAATGTGGTGACTTTTAACTTTTAGACCTTTTCTAAATGGACATTTATCTTAAAGATACTTCATCATTACTTCACACCAGCAACAGCCATCCTTGCCTCCCTCGCTCTGTGCCTCACCACAGTCCAAACACTTCATATTCACCTGTCTGCTGAGATACTTGCATGATGCCTTTTTAAGGGCATAAAAAAAGGTAATTTCTTAGATTGTATGACAAGCAACTACAGGCCCTCTAAATTTTCTCAGTGTAGTGAAAGACACTCAAATAGATTTTCTGGAACAGTAAGAGTGTTCCACGTGGCCGTGAGGGTCCCACAGCTCTGCTGGCCATTCCCAGCCAACAGGCATCCCTGCAGCAGCAGCAGCTGTTGTTTCAGAAAATGTTCTGCTGGTGATGGTGAGCCTTGTGAAACACTGTGTTTGTTCTCTGCAAACGCAGATGAAACTTGGATTTCTTTCTTCCAGAAGTTAATTTAGAGAAAACCTAAAGCCCTGCCTTTCAGGCAGATTTCTTTCAGGAGGGACATGAAATTTCTCTTTATTTTCTCCCAGGGACAAGAACTGAAGGTGTGACTTAAGCTGAGGTCACCACAAACAGCGACAGAAAGTCCAGCCTTAGGCTGAGCAAATTCCACCTCAGAGAAACCACACAAGGAAATGCATCCACCAAATGATAGAAGCAAACAGCCATTGTAAACACATCTTTTCCATGAGCCTCATGAAGTGCTTTACCTGAATTTATAACACTCTTGAAATCAGCTTTAGGTCAAACACAGCTCATGCAAATTTCAGCCTGTAACTTTTTGCCCAACATTAACACAGTTGTTGCTGCCTGGTGGGGATATCAAAGATGGTATGAACCTGCCTTTCAAGTCCGAGTCATTGTGACAGGCCACACAAAGTCACTGCTTCTAGTTCTGAGGACAAAGACCTTGCATGTTTGCCACCTGCTTCAAACCTTTCCAATACATTCCTATGGAAATGCTACCTTGGGAAAAATACGGTTGGGCATATTTGTTGTTTGGGCAGCAACCCCTTTCAGTTCTAGCTCTTAAAAACTATTTCTGCCATGATAAATCAATCCTTTGTGGAGAAGGCTGATCAAGCCTTAATTTGCACAGATTAATGCATCCACACAATACCAGTATTCAAGAAAGAGTTTCTCTGTTCTGCCAGTGTGGGTATTTCTGCTGGGCCAGGCTGTGCCATGAGTATTGCTCAACTGGTTTGTGTGGTGAATGGACATCACACCACTGGTGAAGCTGCATTTCCACCTGTGATAAGAACATCAAAGCCAAACTCTCACAAATGGGTAGCAGACTTAAATATTAAGTTGATTTGTTAGTCCCACACTTTTATATTTTAAAAGTGCACACTTGGGAGAAAGTCTGAAAGCTGTCGTCTTCTCACTAATCATTGAAATGAGACACTGCTTCATGCAGTGAAAACGTGCCAAAAGGGAAGAACCTGTTTGAACATTTGCTGCTACTATGAAGTTTTATCAGACAGGGATGACACCAGATGGCATTTCTCACCCTTCAGGTGCAACCTGAGCCAGTAGCAGAGTAACAGATCTCCTCCATTGTTATCCAGGCATCTCCTCTTCCCAACCTTCTGTATATCAATTTTTCCTTACCTCATGTAACTCACCACTAGAGGTAAGTAACATAAGCTACTCAGCAGCCCAGTGTCATGACAAAGGTAGAAGATGAGATGACAAAAAGACAGCAGGTTGTGATTTAAATGGGAAATCTTATCCAGTGATCTGTCCAAATGTTACACGGAGTTTTAATTTAAAACTCACAATGACCCTGACGTTTCAGGTAAGAAAAAAAGGCTGGAGTGCTGCATTTTAGAGGTGAACTCCTGCTGCACTCTGGAGTCCAGAAGCTGAGGAGAACACATGGGACTTGATACAACCTGATTTCTACTGCTGCTTTTCAGAAAATCCTTACAGATTAAAACGAGCACACCGTGCACACCGTAGTGAAAAAGCCAGTAGATACTGCCCTGCCCAGCTCTGTTCATCTGCACCTCACTCAGCTGCAGGACAACCATTCGTGCATTAAAACAAAGACAAACAAACAAACAAACAAGGTTTATTCACGGAATACTTCTGCGTGTTTTGCTGGCAGGAGACAAGGACTGCTCGGCACCATTAGAGGGCTATTAGAAATTCAGCTCATCACCTCAGCTATTATTCAGTGTCATGGTAACAATTTAGCACAGCCACACAGCACTTGCAGACCTTGCATGTTCTGGAGTTTCCCCCAGCCCCTTTCTAATGCACCTGTACAAACACACTCAAATCCAGGCCTCCCACCTTTCCTTCAACTAAACATGCTTGAAAAAAAAATAATAATAAAATCAAGTGTTGGCCACACACGACTGTTTTAGGAAAAAAAGAACAATTCCCTTTGTTCTCCAACACAAGGTGAAATCTTTGAAAAAGGTAAATGCTGTGCTATTTTATAGCTGTATGACATAAAGGATATCACTTATCATAACCCTAATATTTAACTTGTATACGAAGCACACAATGCTGTCAACAAATATTTATGATTTAAAAGAAAATTTAAAAATCCACAATATTTTTCAATGCATGAATACTCAGAGACAAAGGTCTGTTGAAGTCACTGGAAGCACAAAAAAAAGTAAACCCCTACAAATCAGTAATCCTCTCAGCCTGTTGTCATTTTATTTTTGAATGCATGCTCGTTTGAGAAATTCAGGTTTCTGTTTTCAAAGCTGCTTATTAAACAGGGATCATTTTACACTGAACTACATTATATATTTTTATATTACATATATAATATATATTATATATTTTATATTAGTAAAGAACTGTATGTCATCTGTTATTTGTAATTTTTAAGAAATTATATGTAAATATTTTAATAGAAAAAAATGTGGGTTTTTTAAATGTAGGGAAAAACAACCCAAAACCATGCTTAGAGAAGAACATTGTCTGTCCCAGGAAGCTTTCCTCTAATTAAAACCGACTAAGCAACTCTGCAGAGTGCTGTGTCTGCTTACGGCACCAGATGTTTTGCCTGCACAAAAATAGTAAGATAAACAAATATATAACTTGCTGCAGTCTCCAGGAGAAGAAAACCCACCAACAATATTCTGAAGGGCATTCAAAAGCTGAACAGTGTGTTTGAAAATGCACTGTCTTTTGAAGGTAACTTTGCTGACTGGAGAATGTGGGTTGGTTGATAGGTATTCCTTGCAAGTTCTGCAGTCAAGGATGTGTTTGGGTTTTTTCCACTATTGAGTTTTTACATTCTTTGCTCAGTTATCAATGCCTTGCCCTCCCACTGTTTTCATGACACGCAAATAACATCACAAAAACATTAACGCTGTTTCACACTGAGATGTGCCCGTGTCATTTTATCTCTTGATGAGATTTTATCCTGGAGAATACAGCTGTTCACATCAAAGGAGCTCAGGAAAAGGAACCAGCGACAACATCAGTCAAGGTATTGAAAGCCCTAAATTGGAGCAGAAAATTTAAATGCAGCCTTTCAGCTTAGGAGAATACCTTCCCCTGAACTAAAGAGATGTTGCTCCCTGCCGTGCTTCCTCCAAAGATCCAGCCAGCTACTGTTTTTATGGGCTGAGCTCCATCATTATCCAAACTGCTTCTCTTTTTTTAAAAAAAAAACAAACAAACAAACAAACAAAACCCCACAACCCACAAAAACCCTGTCCCTATCCCTTCCCAAGGCTTTATCTAATGTTTCTTTGCACTTAAAAGAGAAATCTTAAAAGCACAGCAGTAAAGACAAATTTATTTAATTCAGGAGTGAATTAATTGGCAGGGAGAAGGATGGATTTTTTTTTTTTTATCACTGTCAAGTAACATATCTAGAGGGTCTAACAGTGCTGGCACTGTCAGGTCTGAGCCACCTCGTTCAACATCCTGCTACACATCACATCATCACAAAGCTCTGAATCCCAAAGCTCTGTCTTGGTCTTGAACAAAGAAATTGTCCTCCAGGGCAAATAAGTAAGTAAATAAATAAATATTTATTCTGGGAATGGGATGGGAACTCAAGAATCCTGTTTTTGCCAGGGAGGGGCAGGGTTGTGAAGAACAGGAACCCATCTCTCTTTCACAGGCTGGAAAATGGGGGCAAGACAGCCCCTGGCATTCACCTACCCATCGTCATCTTTTCAGGAACTGTGTAGGCTTTATCGCTGTCAGCATCCCCTGAGGGTTCCTGGAGACCTTCCCTGCTCTGGCTGGCAGAAACAGGGCTCTGAGCAGCAGCCACTGCTCTGCAAGTTCTGCTCTGCCATGAACAGAAAGCCAGAGGAATGTGCCATGGCACCAGGGACAAGAGATTCTCTGCCCTACATTGTCTTAAGAGACAGAGGGAGCAGCATGACAGCCAGGGTAGACCAGGAGAGAGGCTGCACATGGCTGGGGCACAGAAAAATAAGATCCTTGAATGCAGATTTGGCCTACTGGTCCAGAATTTCCCAATTAAAACCAGCACAACAGCACAACAAAAGCAGTCGAAGGATTTTTTTCTAATCTCAGTCTCAGGTTTTAGAGTTCCTTGTAGCTACAGGTTTTGGTCAGAAAAATAGACAAGTGCAATCAGAAATATGTGCAATTCTGCAACAATTTATCACCTGCATGGGCTCTACCAAACTGAGAAGCACCCAAAGGATATAAACTAGCACCAAGTGTAACTTGTGGTCTTGTTTCATTGAGAGTTATGAATTAGTGTTCTTACAGCATGCTATAAATGGATCTGTAACATGATTACAGTAATTTTAGGAATACAAAAGTGTTTCACAAGAGTTTTTTCTGTTTTGGATATATTTTATGCAGTTATGGCCCCAATGTTTAGACATGCAGAAAAAAAATTCATATATATATTCTACAAAACTAAGAGGGGTGTCATATGGAGAGATTCACAGGAGAAAGTCAGACAGTCCCTAGAACCCACCTGTTCTGTTTTTAAACCTCATTCTGTACTTGATTCCTGAGTTACTGAAATCCATCTCTACTCCTTCCATTAAAATTCTCCCAGTCAGATTCTGTTCTTGGCATATAAAGCCTCACCTAGGCCACCACGAGAGACAATAAAAGCTGCTTGCAGATCTGGAATCGTGACCTTTACTCCCCTGAGTCCAAATAAACTGCTACCCTACTGCCCTGTTAGATCCACACTCTCCTTGGAGCCTTCAGGGGCACTAACCACCCATCACTCCATGTCCTAATGCCAGCAGGCTTTGTTCCACTGGATATCAAGAGAAGAAAATACCTACCTTGTTATTAAAATTACTTATACCCACAAAAGTTGCCAGTAGCAAAACGTTGCTGTGCTTTGAAGAGCCCATCTCAAACTGTGAACACACGTCCTCAAGAAAAATACCCTTCCATCTTCTGAAACATCTGACAGCTATCACACAAATTTTTAACAAGATCTATTCCCTGCAATGCTTTGAATCAACAATTTTACGAGTTTGTAACTCCCAATAGTCTTTCTACACTGCTGTGTAATAGGGAACTAGAAGATAAAAAAATGCATTTATGAGGGGACTTAAGGGGTTTAATCAGTTAGAGAACTTGTAATTATTGTTTTATGAGAGCAATCATTCATCTTGAAATTTAAGTGGTAGCACTGAACACAAGTCTAAAGAAATGCAGGAATTCAGGCTGGGTATACAGATGTCAGAATTTTCAAATTACATGACCAGACCATTCTTCCCCCAAAGGAAGTTTTGAAGTTGTGGGTTGTTGTTTGCTTTGTTTTTTAATTGGGGTGGGATTTGTTTTGGCTTTTTGTTTTGGTTTGTTGTGGGTATTTGGGGGTTTTTTTGTGGTTTGTTTTTTTTTTTTTTTTTTCATTTGTCCTCCCTATTTTAGTTCAAAAGATGAAACTTCCAAAGGATGAGTGTAAATCAGCATTACATGGATATGCTGTTTCCTACAGGATCACTGCTTCATTTACTGGAAAAAAAAATTATATAGTGAATGAGAAATGGTTTTAAGGAAAAACTGCACAAGTCTGATGATTCAAGTCATTGAAAGCAGCTGTGAAGAAGAGGATTCTGAACTTGCCTCTAACAGAAATCCACTGCAATGCTCTCCAATTTAATAGCTGGGCACTAGTGTTATTTTCCCTCATTTTTCTGGACTCGCAATTTTAAACCATAAAGGTTTATTCACCAATGCACTGGGTACCTGCAGCTGCAATCAAAGGTAATAGGACTTTTATTTTGAGCATATTAATTGATACATAATGCTAAGTACTCTAAAGTAAATAAATAAATAAATAAGTCATCTTAGGCACCCTGTATTGGACAGCAGCATAAAAGGACACATTTTTCCTGTGACTCACTTTCTTCCCTATAAAACACTAATAATTTTTAATGTGGATGTGTCACATTACAGTGAATGGCATAAGAGTGTCCATTAGGAAATTAGGCAACCTGTCTTCAGGAAATGCTTTCAACTGTCATGAAGTAACGTGTGGCACAGAGCCACACTTGGGCATGATGGAGCAAAAGAATATTAAATAGCTGCTCTCCACCTGCATCTGGCCAGCCCATACACATAAACAAGTCAGGAGCATTAGAACAAAAAGGATGTTATTAATCATGTAATTTAAAACTGTGTTTAGGGGATAATTTGACCAAATAATAAATAAATAAGAATTAAGACTGCAGACGTAATCACCTTGGGATTTCAAAATTTGAACACTTGGCTTTCTTATTTAATACAATTTTTATTTCTGTATCCCTGAAGTCAGAGGCACAAATTCCACCTCCTGCCATTACTGGCAGCCCTGTTGTGTGCCACTGTAAATTTTTCTAACTTCCAGGACCATTCAGGACTCTTCAGAAGCCAACTCAGACAGAAGCAGCCACTTCCAGACCTAGAATACAAGACACAGCCTTTCCCTGATGGGTTGTAGCAGCAAAGAAAGGCCAGCTCCAATCTGGTTAATACTGACTGTTGAATCCACCAGCTCTGCCACTGAACAGGATACAACTGGAGTTGTCCCTCTCACTGGATCCTTTCCCAGTTAGAAACTAGAGAAAGAATGTATGCCATTGCTATGCTAATTTTGAGAAGGAAAAAAAAAACCACCAACCACCTAAAAACTGTGTTGTTAAGAGTCCAAATAACTTAAGATGCAAGAAGTCTCAGAGTGAGTCCATTTAATGGTCCAAATAAAGTCCATACAGGGGTCCTTCAACCATTAGAAAAGTTATGGTTTTTGTTAATTTTGATGTTTTATGACTTCTAGTGACCCTGATGTTTTGTTCAAAGTCATTTTTGAATTTTCAAAAAGCCATAAAGCCCTCTGTTAACAGTTTCTCCAAACTGTAAGTGGAAAGTTTACCATTAAAGTGGTAAAACACAAAGATTTGGTGGTCTGACTATTTTTAAACAGACCTTTTTCTGAGCAGTTCAATCCTGCCATACATCACTCGAAGCCAGTAAAGGACTTCATTGACACAGTAATCTTCGGTGTAAAATACCAGGTTCTGCAGAGATAATTCATTTTGCAAAGTTTTCACTGGAAGTAAGTTCCATATCTCCAGGATAAATTTATTAATATTGCCAGATAGTTACAGCCTACATCCCAGTAGCAGAGGAATTAGAACTTGGAGCCAGCCACATTTGAGAACAGCTAAGTGAAGTGGGTTCACAATGCAGATTTTTCAAATTTATGTGCATGAAAAGTAAAGAGCTTCTTTCCTGCCCCTGTATTTTCAAAGTGGTTATCAGAATAACATTTTTCTACGTGGGTTCTTATTATAGAGAGCACAGCCATCCGTGTTTGCAAATCATGTAACACCCTCTTTCCTTTGCAACAAGGGTGCAAGTAATGTTGCTTGTCAACACCAAGGAGAGGATAAAATAAGTATAGGGAGACATATCTTACATAGAAAACATTTTGGAAAGAAAATCATTTTAGTCATCCTCAGGTGGGTAACAGTCCTCACTTCATTTTTCCCCCAGAGATTTATTACTAGAATTAGTGTTAATCTCAATAAAACTACAGTATTTCTGCTAATCCACCAGAAAGTATCAAAGTTAAAAAGAGCTCATGATTTATCATGCACACCATAGTACAGTTTTATAACATTTTTATTATTTTCAAAGCCTTCTAGGATGTTCCTTATCAAGATGTGACATAATTCTTCCCATAGCTCAGTTGTCTCGTTATGGTGCTGCAGTACATGATAAAGAAAATAATTTATAGTTGGAGATAAACTTACTGTGTCTGGCTTTCCATTTTAATAAAATTTACAACAGCGTTTGGAGAAACTGCAGTGTCAGATTTCATTGACTGTGGAAAAAAAAATATACTAGGAGCTAAGATTGACTTTATGCCCATTTAGATATTTTGTATAGCAGTCATGGAAGCAGGCTGTCAGGACAAGATAAATTAGGGATTTTGAGGACTGGTTCAATTTAAATTCAGGAGTCCACAGGCAGACAGGGTGGCTGCTAACAAGTGTCAGAGTATGTGGATTGCCTGGATTTTCTTGTGTGATGCTAAATGCAGAACTTATCTAAAAAAACAGGGTTCCTCCATTTTATTCATCTGATATAAAGTTATCTTTTGCATTTAAAGGCTCCTAAAGTAGAAGTTCATAACTCTGGAGTTGGGGTAGAGGAAGATGTTATTATATTGGACTAATCCTATCCTTTAATTCCCTTAATGAAGTATAATTCCCGAAGTGGATGCTACAGGAGAAGTGGCCAGATCCACCAGACTTTGTCCAAGACCATATTTATGTCCTTCTTGGTATAAATCACAATCCTTTGAGAGTTTTCCTTAGAAGGAAGATAGAAACCTGACTTTTAGGTGAAGTCATGAACAACTGAGAGGCAACTGGTTCAGAAGTACCAGGAGGGACAGCTTTTTAAGTCATAGCTCTGTCATAGCCTTTGTATTCTCAGACAATTTGCTTTGCAAGTTAACATTTAAAGCTCCTTCTCCTGATAAGAACAAAGAGAACTGCACACTGCTGTGGTCCTGTAAAACTCTTAGTCTAATGTATTAGCAACCAGTAAAGAGTTCTCCTTTTGGAAAAATCAAGAAGGAGAACAGGCTTTGCAGTCCCACCCTCCTCCTGTGAACCATGCATTTTCCTGTTGCTGTAGTCTAAAGGTTGCTACATTAGTAAGGTTTCAGTCAGGACTAAAGGTCGTGGAGTAATTAATACAAGGTGGGGAGATAAAGAAAAAACAGCAGTCAGACAGAAAATTACGCCTATTGCAACTTAGAGAGCATTTCCTTCCTTCCTTCCTTCCCCTGGTTACTATTTTTAAATCCCACGAAGTGAAGCATCAGCAATTCCTCCAAGATGACAACAGCTCTGTATTGGAAGGGTAAAGGCACTGACTGGCATCATTAAACAGACTGGCATCAGGGCTGGGTAAAGAGCTGCCAGATTTGTGTTCAACTCTGTTTCCACAAACAGAAACGGAGTCTGTTTCTCTAAAGCAAAAAACCTCTTCCTTTAACAAAAAGATTCCCAAACAGAAGCCCCAGCTAAGTAAGAGTAAATTTATGAATTTTCAAAGCAGTATCTTAAACCCACTTGAGATTTTAGTGACATTTACATTTCTACAGCGTGCCCAGTTTATTTCTAGCCAGGTTTCAGAAGAAGGCCATTATTTGCATCGCTGGAAGCTTTTCTTTTGCACAGTCAAAACACACACAGGAACACGAAGTAAGTTCGCTGGAGGGGCAGGAGAATTTAGGTTTGAATATATTTCAGGCAGCAGCTCTGCTTTGCTTTGAACAAAGCTTTTGGAGTTTTATCATGTTATTCTGTCTCTCCTTGAGAATAGCTGCAGAGAGATATGTGGGATTCTCCCCAATTCCCTCCTGCTCTCCTTCATCCTTACTTCCCTCTCTCCAAACCAGCTCAGAGCAGTAGCAAGGATGCTGACCATGGCCAAACCAGACTAGCACTGGAGATTGCCCCTGTACTGTCATATTCATGTACTCAGGTAAGTAAGTGATGGAAAAAGATAATTCTCATACAGCAAGGGGAGATGGGTTGTTAGAGGAAATTATATCAGGTGGGGAGCAAGCAATAATCAGCAAAAGCCAACATTTCTGCTTTACTGTTGGCTTGCTACAGTTCACAAAAATACTGAATAAACTTTCAAGAAGCTAAACAGAATGAGATCAGACCTTTGCAAATCTGAGAGGAAGAACCTGAGAGAGAGACAGACCAAGAGACAAGGTTAACATGGACCTCACCATGACACAGATGGAAATTTAAAGTTTTAAACATTTGAATTTATTTTCTAATATGAATTTATTTTCTGTTTCCAGGAGGCATTTGCTCAAGTGTTTAGCACACATTTGCAGTCTGTTGAAAATTCTTGTGTAGTTTTAGAAACAATGTGTGAGAATCACTGGAAAATATTCTCAATCAAAACATAAATCTACTTACAGTCTAAATCCATCTACTACAAGATTAGTCAGAAAGTTTCCTAATTATGGCTGAAATGCAAGTAAACAGTATTATGATTTAGTCCACTGAGAAAGAAAACACCAAGAACTGCTCAGGAAGTTGCCAAACTTACTATAATGTGATGTGACTACTCAGAGAAATCAGGATCTGCTCTCAAACAGTTTAGGAACTTAGAACAGTAAATTTAGTGGCTGATTACACTGACTGTGATGAAATCACAAAACCCAAACAAACAAAAAACCCAACCCACATCTCTTTGAGCCCAGGTTTATAGTGGCTCTTTCAGTTCTCACTTCAGGCTGCAGTGTCACTATTAGAACATCTTATTCCAAAAGCCAATTATTTACACACTGAAAAAAATAAGCCCTGCTGGGTGGTCATGTCACCCACCCCTTTCACAGCAAGCACGTGAATTTTTAGTGAGGTAAATGACAAATGAATCTAGCAGCTTGGACTGCTGGAACTGACTTCTCTCATAAGTTATTTAACCATTTTCTATGGCAAACCTGTGCTGTTTCCTGTCACTTGTGACTGACTGTTCAAGACGTGGCTGAAAAGCAACACTGACTGGGCTGCAAACTGGTTACCTGCACAGCATCGTAAAGAAATTCAAGCAGTGGTGGCAACTGCTTTCACAGACATCAAAGCATACTTTGTGTAAGGACCAGTAGTTTCACTAAGTATATGGTTGGCAGGATTGCTTATTACAAAAAGCTCTTAATTATATTATCCTCAGGAGAGCCACTTGTCCTCATCAGCAAATACCCCCATTAACAGATTATTCTACTTTAGCCTCAAGTGTACTCTAGTTTTCATGCAGTACTCTTCTTTGGGATTATCCACGATACCCTGACATAACACGATCCTTGTTTCTTGCACACAGCAATACCAACAATGAGCTATAAATAGAATTATTAATTTTAAAGAAAAGCAGGGGTATTTTCCAAAACAAACAACAACAAAAAGCACAACCAAACAACAACAACAACAAAAAAAACCAACCACATGGGAAAACCTGCATGATCCAAGCTGATCCAAGCCAACTCTACTTGTCCTTACACCAAAAACTGCACCCCAGGTGATGCCATCCATAAGAGTTCAGTTGTTTGGGTGGCATCTGTGCTGCACTGGCTGGTTCAGTAACCTCAGTGCTGAAACAGGGAAATCTGCCCATGGATGGTGCTTGGAGCAAACTCCCCTCTGGTTTCAAACACTGTCAGAAGGGAACTGTTCCTATGTATCCATGCAAAAGTAGAAACTTAGGATTTATTTTTTTAATTGAAAACAACAGGTGTGTATTAAAAGCACTGTTCCAGGCCAGTGGTCATAAAAGAGGTGCTGGAAAGCCCCTGGAAGTGAATGTAAAGAACACAGAACAGCAGAAGGGAAAGATACAAGAAAGAGCAGCTGCACCATGAACCAAGTTTGTCACATTTGAAGGGAAGAACAGGAAGACCTACGTGGAAAAAAAATAAAATTAAAAACTCAATTTTCTATCCAGAAGTTGTATTTACTGTAAATTCCTCTGTTTAGTTAGAGACAGTAGAGTGGCAACTGAGTGAAACTGCCCTCCCCTACCTACAAGATGAGCCAACTTCATTACAGGTTTTTATGGGAAAAAATTTTCCTCTGTTACAGTTTGAATTAGTCTAAAACTCTTTCCTCTTGAAGATTAATTTTCAGCAAGATCAAATTCTGGCTTACGTATATAAGAGAACAAGAAAGACACTGTAACACAAACACCACTAAAATCCCATCTGTCATCTGGAAAGAGCCAGGAAAAGAATTGTAAAATAAAAATGAAGTGGCATTATAATGGGGTTTTTGATCTGTTATGAAATAGTTGGGGCACAGTGCAGGGATTTCTGACCAGGTTGCGATGTCTGTGTGGTGCAACACAGTACCCAGAGGACACACTGAACAAAGCTCTGAAAGCACAACATCTGCATTGACACAACACTGCAACCAGTGTTGTTCTGCAGACACCAAGAGAACTGTGGGAGAGACGATGCTATAAACCTGTTATTCTTTTTAATTAAAAATATCTTGGCATTTGAAGTACGGATGAGAATCACGTAACAGAAATATTTCTATCTGCGTGTCACGACGAGCCAAAGGGGTTTTCTTTCTCCACCTTAGACTGGCAAATTTCACATCAGAAATTCCTACATGGACACTGCAACCCAGAAGAGAAGTCCAAAAGAGTTGAGCTTATTAAATGAGCTACAACATCATTAGTGGGGGTACATGTATACGTGTCTGTGCTTGCACACACGTGTATGTCTGTGGGTGTATGTGTATAAAGTCTGGCTTTATATTTTTTATATTTATATTTAAAAAGTCTGGCTTTATATATATTTATATTTTTTATTGGCTTCTTTTCTGTGGTTGTGAGTACATTGAAATGATTCCTCACACTGGTCCTTTAAATTACCTTATGGTATTTGTCTCACAGATTTTAATGGCTTGTTTACCTAATAAAGTAAGAATTTATATAGTGAACACTTTGGTTTGTTTGTTTTGGGAAGTAAGAGAGAAGAAACCTGCCCCAAAGTGTAATAGACAGAATTTTTAGTTGAAGAGCACTCTAGTAATAACAGAGTACAAGGGCAATACTACAGTCTGGCATTAATGACACCCAAGGCAGATTGGCTGTGATGGGGTTGTGCTGTGCTTTTAGACAGAGTGCTCAAACCCAAATTCCTACAGCCATGGCCTTCCTCCTGGGAGTTCAAAGGCAAACCACAGCCATGGGGGAAAAAAAAAAGAAAAAGTAGTACATTTTGGTCGAGATTTCAGCAAAGGCAACGAAACATGAAATAACACTGCAGAATAAACTTGTTAGCATCAAGCCCTCCCAATTCTCACTGAAGGCTTTTGCTGGGGAGCGTGCATGCAGCAGTATTCAGAGAATGTCCACTTTAAAGTGACAAATT